CAAAAAACATATATAACCGGGCGTAAAACCAGCTTGGTTTTTCACCCGTACATGCCTGCAATCACCCGGCTTTTCAGCAGGGAACAACAACAAATAAAACAAAACCGCCCCAACTCTTAACTTGGACATAGGAAAGCTGAATAAGGCAATAAATCTATCAATAACAAACGACAAAGATTAAACCCATAAATTAAAGAAAACGGCTCAACAAAAACCGTTAAACGAAACTATACTAAAACTTCAAATCCAAAAAAACATTCAATTAAGAAACCATAAACCCAGATAATACACAAAAGGAATTCTAATGGAATTGGTAATTACATTAGTATACAGAGGAAGTCAAAAATACCTCCCACCGGTAACGGTCAAATCGTATCAATGCACACCAACTGTTTAATACAAAGTTAAGATTGCTGAGACAAGACAATAACAAGTGCAGGAACAACCCGACACGGACAGACAATAACGGTCAATACGTTGACCACGACCAGTAACAACTCCCAAACTCCAAACATTAATCCCAAACGTAAAAAAACAACTGACACACTTTACCAAGTGCAGGAATTATCTGACCAGGACACGGAAACTAGGAAACTACACCCCTGCAGCGAAATAACAACTCCCCAGTCCAAATAGTAATCCCAAACGTTTGGAGTAATACTAATCGACTGGTCTAGGGGGATTCTGCGTCGTACTTAGTTTTAAGTCGGCGTAATTGTCCTCCAAAAACCAACAAACGTCTATCCCTTCCGTTCCTCCTCCTCTATACCCTACTGGGCGTATTATATAATTTAATATAATAAGTTCGCCGAGCCGATGCTATTATAGCTATTATATAATAGCTATATTAGCATCGGCTCGGCGAACCCGAGAATGGCTATTAAAACTATTCGCATGTCGCTCTCGAGCCCCAAATAGGGGACAGTACGGAATGCAATGGACATTCGCACCCAGCAAACACGGGTGAAGCCGTGCAGTTGCTGGGGGCGAACAAAAATCGGCGTAAGTAAACATAGGCCTGTACGGGGTCCGGGAGTGATGATAAAATGGGGCTGGTTATACGTCTTTTGAAGACTCATACTACTCATTAACAATTGTTTTAAGATTTCTAAATACAAGTACAAAGGTTTAATTAACTGATCACTATTGAAATGTTTAATAAATTCTTAAATATTAATTATTTTTATTAATTAACAATAGGTAGTTAAATAGTAATTGGTTCCTATTAAAAAACAATTTCTTAAAAACATTTCTTTAATAATAATAATTATAACTTTCAATAAGATTTCTTAATAAAAGTATAATGGCTTATCGAAATATTGAACTTTCGGAATGGTGACTCATCGCCGATGAGTCATCGCCGGTGAGTCAGCGCTCGAGCGATCGAGAGCGGCCCGGAGCTCGCTGGAATATTCGAGAAGGCGCTTGCGTGACTGGTGTCACGTAGGCACTGATATATAAGGAACAGAGCAGCATGGAACTTTTAGCCTAGCGCCATCTAATTAGTTAACTGACAAGAATTCTTGTAAAAAAACACTTGGCAGAGAAATATTTATAGCTGATTATAATATATATATACAATACAAGTTTACTTAAATGCATACTCGAAAATATTGTTAAATTTTGAAATTTCCTATAATTCCAGGCCTAATCCGACAAATAAGAACCAATTAATACTTGCGTTGTTGAATATTTGAATTAATTTTGGTTAAATTTAAGGTGTCACGAGTTAAAATTGACCTGTTTTTATCTCATTTTTTTTGTCTGCGGGATTTTTACAATTTCCGGCTTATTTCGACTGCCTTACCTTCCGCTATGTGGAGCATTCATCGTTTAAAAATCTGGTCACCCTACCTTACTTAAAAAAAAAAATATGGCATTGTTTGTGAAAATTTAAAAACTAAAATGAAAAATTTATATTTGAATGACTCTTATAATCGATATTAGTTATTTATTTATTTACGAGAAAAAACTAATAAAACCTTCATTATCAAGCATAAGGCGTGTTAATACAATTGTGTCAATGTTTGAATATAATTTGTATAATTTCGTTAACATTCAGAATTCATGATTAGATGGAACTGCAAATACTTGCTTCCACCGAATTACTGATTTGAACTGTTCCGAACCGTTTCAGAACTGATCAAATAGATCATCGAGGACCAAAAGTTATTAGGACTACTAGATCCTATTTTGAGGCTTGATCAAACAAATTTTTGTTACTGCGCAAAAGTCCTAGAACTAAGGAGAACTGCTTGATCAAACGAACCTATAATTTCGCATCTAAATAATGTTCAAAAATAATATGTAACATATTTACAGATTAATTAATAGGTTCTCAGGTTTTTAAATTAAATTAAATCGCGAAGATTCTACTTACCTAATTAAGTAAAAGAAATACTGACCGTTTGTGTAGTGATATCACTAAGTAATACTGTAAATTCACTTGTATTGCCTCCCAAAGTATAAATAAATGGCAAAGGCTATAATTTTAACGTTACACAAAAAGTGCATTTTGCACCATGGTGAGGTCAATGTATTGACCTATAACAATATACGAGTATGTATTGTTAAGTTATATAACTTAAGTTACATAACTTTTTATTGGAATTCTATTATTATTATATTATAAACAAGTTGTCATTTAATTTAAACTAAGAAAAATCAAAACATTGCCAAATTATGATTGATAACATTTTCTAATTGATTTTAACCAACAAACAATCAGTGATCAAACGCGACAATAAATTAAAATGAAATAGGGTAAACAACAGTTACTGTCTTTCGCTGATCAACCACGATGACTCCTGAATCCGAATGTTCGGCCGCCCGATAGCGTATTTCGAAAAGCGTACTCATTTGGTCCCCGCAGTGGTGTCGAAACCGAGACGCATTGCCCGTCTCAATAACTGTGTAAAAACGTACTCAATTCGTCAACTAGAGGAGACGCATTTTCTTGGAAGAAATTAAAAATATACATGGAATGTGATTGGTTTGAAGTAGATACAATAGTGTTTTCACAGACCTGAGTGTCATCATTACACAATGAACTGTAAAAGCTTAATAAGCTCTATAGTTTCGGATTTTTTTCTGTTACAATATGAAGGGAAAGATAGTGAGCAATTTAAAGTGACATTACAGTGCAAATTATTGCATCCCTTGCGGCCTTGAGTTTACGGTTTATTCACCGTGAATTCACCGTGAACTCACCGTGAATTCACCGTGAATAAACCGTCTGTTTGTGACATTTGTAAACGGTAGTTGGACGGTGAATTCACGCACTTTTCACAGACGGTTTATTCACGGTGAATTCACGGTGAATTCACAGTGAATTTACGGTGAATTCACCGTGAATAAACCGTGAACTCAAGGCCAATGGAACCACTACGGACTTGGCTATTCAATGTCGTCGTTTATTAAATATGTACTGGTAGTTTATAACTTCCAGAATAACAATATAATGTTTAAGTAGGCAGGTAAATTTATAAACCCTTTAAATTTTACTGTTGAACTTGTGAATTTAGTTTTTGTAAAATAAATGCGCTTCATCAATATAATAATAATATAATGTTTTCACAGTAAATTCACAGCGCTTTTACGGTGAATTCACGGTGATTTCACGATAAATTTACGGTACTTTGACAGTGAATTTGCGGTGATTTTGCAAACTTGAGTTCACCGTGAATTTACCGTGAAATCACCGTGAATTAACCGTGAAATCACCGTGAATTTATCGCAAAAACAGCGTGAGTTCACCGTTTAATTACCGTCTACAAATGTCACAAATGGACGGTATATTCACTGCACATAAACGGTGTATTCACGGTGAATTCACGCAAACGGTGAATTCACCGTAAACTCAAGGCCGCAAGGGATGGTAAAAGTTATGATGAAAAATGTGAAATGAGAAAACGTGTTTCTAAGGCTGTTAGATTTTAATATTGCAAGCGTTTTGTTTGCCAGCATTCTGTAAGAAATAAAATAATTGTTAAACGAAAAGATATTATACGTACGCAATTATAACTGCTTGGCAAGCATTACCATTAAGTTCTTGAAGGAACCCGTACATTCGCCGAAAAAATTTATTTAGAGATGGTTTAAAGGTACGTATTAAAATATTTTTTTCCATTCACACCGGCTACAATTTGCTATGCTGTAGTGACAAAACTAAATCTTTATTTATTTCGTATTTTGAATAAGGAATGACACCCGCCTCGGCAAAAACTTTTCACGAAATGCACATGACTCAATCTATAGAAAATGACCTTTTTGTACATTTAGCAAATGCTCAGATAAATCCATCATAATATTTATTGATTCAAGTGGGTCGTGCGATCAAAACAATACATGTGTAAATTGAGTACAAAAATGGTAAAACAATATTATTATGAACATTAGGTTTAATATTAATAGTTGTTATAATTAACTACAAATTAAGGGTTTGTATTTTATTTTACAATATTTCTATTTTTATTTTTGTATTTTGTAATATTTTATACAACTACAATAAAAAGTAACAAGTACCTAGTCATAATGATTTTCTCAAGTCATAATTTCATTCATCTACTGTTGATACCTACTTTTTGTGTTTTTTTAATAAAGCCGATAAAAATATAGTTCCCAATCAAAGGGATATAATGGAGACGGTTTTATCTTTAAAAATGCACAATATTGTACAGAAAATACGTCTCTAGTTGGTCCCTTCCAGTTGACGAATTAGGTACGTTTTTACGCAGATTTTGAGATGGGTAATGCGTCTCGGTTTCGGCACCACTGCGGGGACCAAATCAGTACGCTTTTCGAAATACGCCGCCCGATATCCACCTTCGAATCTTGCCAGATATTCGGTGTCCCGTTACGGGACTCCCGTATCGGGCCATCTCTAGCAGTATACTCAGCCTGAGTAACTCAGGTATATATTCTTTTTTATTACATTACATTTCTATGATTATTTATGAATTCCCAGACGTCCAATTAAGCAAATTGTAAGTAGAAAACTGAAAATATATTGGTACCTTATCAATACAATATGTACAATTTATATTACAATTTTAGACAAGTTATAGTTATTTAAAATATAACCTATCAACAATGTTATAAATAAAACCTACAAGTCTGTTTTAGGACCCAAAGACAATGGTATAGCTGCCAATTCAGTTCTTAAACATAAAAATTCCCCACAAACACACATTAATGTTGCACAAGCTACATTTAAGGCCCACCATGAGAAAGTTACAGGAAAATTACCATTATAAAACCAGCATATTATAAGATGTATTAAATGCCAGGTACAGCTAAAGTCCATGCATTGTTTAGTTCTTTCAACTATATGCCATAAAACAGCAGCCCTGAAATTATAAAATAGGTTTTATAGTTAATAATTATCTTAGATTATTTTAAAGCATACAAAAAATAAAATGAGTAGTATTAGGAGTTTGCATGATAGCCTTCCAATGTTTTCAAAAAGATGTATGCTTAAATTAATCGTTAATTAAAAAAATGTTTAGCTATTACCCAGTAAACATTTGTGATTTCACGAAAAAGTCACGACGTGACATGTCTAAACTTGATATCCAATTGCTGGCACAGTGATTTCGTTTGTCATTTTATGTTAAGCAGTGACACGCGCGTGATCTTTTTATTATTGTTTGGCAAAGACCTTTTTCTTTAATACGCGTTATAGCTTGATGCTTTTAAACAATTATTTCCCCAAAAATATATACCCGGATATTATACTTGCTCGCGATTTTGCGCGAATATATATAACTCAAAATAATCGATAATAACAGAACATAACCTATGTTTATATACCTTATACGTTTAATTATTGTTTTTATGGTTTAATTAAACTGCGCACCACTCAATGTATCGCGACCAAAAATTTCGTCCTTTTTCTGTTTTGGTCTGTGATGTCTGCTAGCCCCATCCTCTGGCAACTCATGCTATAGATATGAAGCTGAAGGTTCTTCAAATAAATTTTCTACAGGGTGATATGTAAAAAAGTGAAAAATTTCAATAACTTTATCCAAGCCCCGTCGGTAAAAAAAATATTTTTTTTCGTTTTTACTTTGAAATATTACACTGTTTAAAATATCTGCGGTGTAAAGAGTAATCTTAAAATGGTGTTAATATAACACCATGATTTATGGTTGAAAAATGTTATATACATCAAACACCAAAACAGTGTTTATCTAAAAATATTTGAGAAGTGCAAAGGCGGTGTGGATCACGTGATGTACTTAAATCTCGCCTCTGTTGACTTACATGAAGAATATATAAGCTCAGGTAGTCCTTTGCTTTGGTGTGACACTACAAGTTGTTCGATACTAAAGAGACCTTAAATAGGTGGAAACAGCTGTCAATACTTGAAGTATTTTAAGTTAGTGGAACGCACTAAAAACATTATCTCTAGCGAGTTGAAGGTTCATTTTCTGGAATAATACCACTGGTAATATACTAGTACTGCGTCAAGGAACTTCCTGTTTCCTTTTTCTTTCCTTTTTTCTGTGTAGTATGATTTAATTTGACCACAAACACATAATATTTAACACTGAAAAGGAGTTCAATTTACACCAGGTAAAATTTATTTTAATACTGTGTGAAAGTTAAATTAACACTATTTTAGTATTTGAATTAACACCGGACCAACGAACCACATTTAACACCATTTTGGTTTGTATCGATATAGACCATGTATGGTGTTAATTTGGTGTTAAAATGGTCATGAAATTTTGAACAGTGTAGCTATTACCTGGTCATACACAGACGTTATTGCGCGCGGTTTATCGTGTTATCTGCAAAAACATATAGAAAATCATGTACGTGAGTGAGTATCGCCGTGTGCAATGATAGAACAGGAAGGGATTTTAGACGTGCTTTAGACGGGCATTTAATTTTTCCGAAAAGAATCGAAAAAACACGTTGCTAAGTAATATTTTAACAAAAAGCATGAGTGCTGGTGGCAACAAAAATCCGAGTCGAAGAGGAGGATTTTTGCACCTGCACGAATGCATTTTGTTAAAAAATATTACTTAGCATTGTGTTTTCGATTTTTTTCACAGGAAAAATTAGATGCCCGAATGGTATTTGACAAGACTATTTCATGAGTAACAGTTAACAATTAAAATATAAATTGCAATTTTTGGTGACAACAGCTGTCAAGTTTTGCCGCGGGTAAACTTGAATAAACTGCTGACAGGTGCTGTCACACAGTTTTTTCACCTAGAAACCATTTGTAATTCAAAATTGCGCGTTTGTGATTGGTGGAAATTAAGACGAGGGAAATAGTCGTTCAAAAATAATTTTAGATTCCAGAAGGATAACCGGGTAAAAACCAGAATTCATTTTTCACAGAAGAGACAAAAAATTTATTGTTACTGAGTAATTTTATTTCTTTATTATTTTTTTGTGTTAGTGAGATATGTATTGATACATATAACTTACTAGGTAACACAAAAAAAAGTAATAACAAATAAATAAAATTACTCCGTTATAATCAGTATTAGTCGTTTTTTCGCGTAAATACTATGTAATACTACGGTCATAGAAAAACCACGGTTAAATAAGTCATGACGTCACAGTTAATTCATATAACCATGGTTAGGTTTCTAACATTTGACATTTGTTTACTTGTTCTTAACCTATAATTTTTGAAATTTGTTTTTACCTATTTATATTTTATTTCTATGCTTTTACCGGTGTAAATAAATTTCTTTGCCTCTTCTTATACCTAGTATATTCTTTTTCTAGGTACTAGTTTTTTCAATACACGTTATCCAATTCTCCTACATGTTTAATACAAAATAAGGAAGAATATAAAACAAACCTGCATATAATTCCTCCTTGTGGAGATTCCACAATATGGAGCACCCTATAATTTATTTTTACTGACAACACCCCGTTTACCATTTTAATACAAAGTTTAAATTCGGTTTAAGAGCAATTGTACCTACTTAAAATATTTTAAATTTCAAATGTAAACAACTTTTTGACAGATCGAAACAGAGAAAAATATATATTAAAAAGAGAAAGACTATTAACCACGTTGAATAACTAGCTCAGCGATATAGTTTTATGGTCTGGTATTTGTGACGTCATAGTTAGAATTTTTGAACGCACTCTAAACGCAAAAATGCCTTAACTATTAACCAAGGTTAAGTTTAATAACCATAGTATTTCATGGTATTTACGCGAAAAAACGACTATTATTTATGCCAAATTTTTTTAATTTTGTCCGCTGTAACCACCATTCTCAGGCCATCGTCCCTAAACCTTACACATAAAAACATTTTTTAAAGATATAAGTACACTACTATCACTAGGCACCTAACAAAGAAATCGACTAATAAAAAAACCGCTAATAAATGGCGTCCAAAGACTTGTTTGTGTTGTTTTTTCTTTATGATGGCGTCTCAACCTCGTTGGTTTTGCGCAGCTACACGAGAGCCCTCTTGCGATATTTGTATTGTATTGGGAATAACCAATTAGCAGATTTTTCGAATCTTATAAGTGTATACACTGGGAATACCCAATTGAATTCAATTGCTTTATCCAATCCAATCGAAACCGCTAAAAAACAGTAGAATACTAATTGGATTTTTCCATATTTTAAAGTAGAATACTAATTGGATTTTTCCATATTTTAAAGTATTGGGAATAACCAATTAGCAGATTTTTCGAATCTTATAAGTGTATACACTGGGAATACCCAATTGAATTCAATTGCTTTATCCAATCCAATCGAAACCGCTAAAAAACAGTAGAATACTAATTGGATTTTTCCATATTTTAAAGTATTGGTAATAACCAATTAGCAGATTCTTTTTTCGAATCTTACACTGGAAATGGCCAATTGAATTTAATTGGAAATTACCCATGGGTAGCTTTAACCAATCGAAACCAATAAAAAACATTAGAATCCTAATTAGACTTTTCCATCATGGAAAATACCAGTAAAAACTAATTTCTATTTTTTATCGCGCCCAATTAAATCCAGTAAGTCCAATTCAGACCCATTGATACCAACCAATACTTCAATTGGTTTCTACAGGTCAGTTGTAATTATATTCTAATATTATTTTCGTTTTTATAAACCTTATAAAAATATGTTATATCGCAAAATTTATAAAAAATTATATTAATTATGTTTTTAAGTTTTAATAATAAATAGAAGCAGTATTTTTAAATTTTATAAAAAAATATGTTATATAGCAAAATTTATAAAGAATTATATTAATTATGTTTTTAAGTTTTAATAATAAATAGAAGCAGTATTTTTTAAATTTTATAAAAATGTTTTTTTAGCATAGAAATTTGGCTACGTCTTATTTTATTACCCAAGGGCTCCATGCCAGAGAGATTATAATCAAACATTTTGGTCACAGAACAAACCATTTTCGGTTTAATGTATAAACAGCCAATTGGCTTTGTTTTTATTGTTTTGAGCTTTTACGATTTTTGGACCTTTTTTTATTTCTGTTTTGGAATGTTTTACATAAATCCCATACAATGATCTTATTCCCAATTCTTGATTAAAAATGCCCTATAAAACCCATTTTGATCCAGATAAGGAAACTAATATGGATTTATATGGTTCTATAGGGTTTAATATAGAATTTCATTTTAAAATGTAAAACTTACAGATTTTTATATGGATTTATCTGGTTTCTGTTTTATGGGTCTTTCCATATAGGTTTCCCTATATGGTTGAATATGGAATTCCATTTTAAAATGTATATTAAACGAAAATTGCATATTAAACCATATAGATTCCCCTAGATGCTTAAATATGGATCTATATGGTAATAATTTTTTCATACCCAAACCATTTTGGGCTAGATAGAGTTCCAATATGGTTCAATCTGAACCTATATGGCAATCCATATAGAAATCACTTTTCTATATGGTTTTCCATGTATGGAATTCTATCTGGTTCAGTAGTGCAATGCCTGTTTCAACTTCCTATATTGAACCAGATAGAACCATATAGATTTTTATTTTGTGTTTCTATATGGCATTTTTAATGGGGTAGTTTTTTAATAATGTAGCGAGTACCGCTCTGGATATCGAAGTGATGACTCATCGCCGGTGAGTCAGCGCTCGAACAATCGAGAGTGTGGAGCTCGCTGGAATGTTCCAGAAGACTTGGGCGCTGAATATATAAGGAACGGAGCAGCACAGAGCAGTAAGTCCAGTTTTGGTACTCGCGTCGAAATAAATAAATATACGTGAAAATAAATAGACTCTTGAACAGTAGTGATATATAAATAATTAGTAGTTAAGTGTTTAGTTAGTTTTATAGTGTTTTAAGTGTAGTTACGTTATTAAATAAATGGTTTAGTTCGTTAAT